CCAAGAGCAGGCCCGAGTCAGAAGCAAGCACAGGACTGAGGATGGCAGAGCTGGACCGCCAAATGGCATCCTTACTCCAAGCCGCATTCCCCCTGACTGGGTTTGGGGAGGGTGCCCTGGGCAGGATCACCCCAGGGCTGTGGGGAGGACCTGTCTGCCCCACGGCATCTGCCAGCCGAGCCCCAGAAAGCAGACGGGAGTGGGGAGGAGGAAGGCAGCTGCTGCTGGAGCACGAGGGCTCGCTTGGCACTGCAGCTGGGAGGAAGCAGCTCTGGTTAACGCTGCTGCCAAGACATCCCGGGGGAGAAGGTGACACGTCAGCAGCGTCACTGACTCCATTACTGCCCAGCGGCCCGGGCAATGGCTCTGGCACTCAGCGCTTGAAAGCAAGGGGTTGCCAAGAGGTTTCTGGGGATATGTCTTCACTGGCGGTGGAGCGGGAACACACGATGTGCGCACGCACCAGTCCCAGCCCTGCAAACCTGTAATGCCTCACTTGAGGTACTGGGCAACAGCGGGCTTCGCTGGTGCTAGTGCAGAACTGTCCGTGCCCCACGCCTCTGGGCGATGTGGACAATGGGGCTTTGACCAAGGTATTTCTCTTTGCAGGAGAATGTCCCGGGCACCTGAGTCGTCTGTGCCTTCTGGGCAGAGGGACCTCTCAACTTAGGACTGCACCCAAAGGGATGGAGTGCATGAGCAGCAGCATGGTGATGTGCCGGCCGTGCAAGTCCACTTCCTTCTGCCAGTAGACCACACTGGGTTTGCTCCACTCCACGGGTCTTTCATGGGACAATCAGTGAATGGGCATTGGCTTGGAAGAGGCAGGAGCAAGGCAGAGAATGTCTGCTCGTGGACATCTGAGGCACGAGCTGGTACGATGTGGAACGCCCGTCTAGCTCGCAGGATGCTTGTGAAGCTGTAAAGCCCACTCGAGCCGTGGGGCATCCCACATCCCTCCCACATGCCGCTCCCTCCCTCCTCACCCACGACAGCTTCTCCTGGCCGGTAGCTCCTGGATTACGGGGCCAGGTTTCCCAGGGTCAGCTGAGTTCGCCTGAAAAAGCCAAGTGATTTTTGCCCTGTGGCAACGAGGGCTTGCTTCCAGCTGGGAACGGTGTCCCAGAGAGTTCGAAGAGCTGGAGAGGTTGTACCTGGAGCCAAGGGTTTGTGCAAGCCCTGAGTGGGTGGGGTGGCCGTGGAACATGCTGTAAGGAAGCATTAGGGAGCTGAGCAAACAATGCAAGCTGGAGCAAAGGGAGGAGAAGCGATATGGGAGAGCTTTGCGTCAGCTCCGTTTCTGGTGACTGGGGCCAACCGGGGAATCGGCCTGGGGCTTGTCCGGCAGGTCCTGGGGATGCCAAACCCACCCGAGTGGGTCTTTGCGGCTTGTCGGGACCCCAAGGGAGAGCGAGCGCAGGTGAGGCTGGGCTGGGACGCGGTGGGTTGTGCTGGGGGACGGGAGCACTCGGTGCCAGGCCAGGGCAGCGGTGGGGGCAGGGAGGGGGTTTGCAAAGGGCTCGAGCTGCAGCCAGGCACCCGCGGCACAGGGCAGCCGGGTTACGGCTGTGACACCAGCTGGGCATGGGATGTGAGGAGGGGACAGGGCTCCTCGGGGACAAAAGTGGCAACAACCTGCTTCCCATCTCCTCAAGGGCTTGAGGCAAAGGGCTTGTGTCTGCCACGGCAGGGCAGGGCGGGGAGCAGTGGCACCCGTTGTGTGGGGGGGGGACCA